GACAGTTAAAATGGCCTCAATTTGCATTATTTCTGGCAGTCTGTAAAGTCTCACAAAACTCTTGTTCCTGGAATTCCCTAGAACTGAACCAGGGCAGTTAAAGTAGTTTCAAACTGGATTATTTCTGAAGTGCGTTTTGGACCTTTAGCTCTCATGCCTCAATGCCATGGAATTCTGGGAGTTGTAGTTTAGCCTCTTCTGTCAGAGTCCACAGTTTTGATTAATCCTAGACTACACCCACACTGCAGAAATAATCCAGTTTGACCCCACTTTAACTGCCACAGCTCAATGCTATGGAATTCCCAGAATTCCATAGCACTGAGCTGTGGCAGTTAAAGTGGTCTCAAACTGGATTATTTCTGCAGTGCAGATGCAGCCTATGACACTGGAGACCAGTGCTTGAATCTCTGCTCAAACATAAGAAACCCATTTGGTGACCTTGGGCAATGAGTTACACTCTCTCAACCTCAAAGGATGGCCATGGCAAACCTCCTCTGAAGAAACATCCCAAGAAAACCCCATGATAGGTTCACCTTAGGGTTGCCATAAATTAGAAATAATTTGAAGGCATACAACAACAACAACAACAAAAATCCCATCAATAGGAGTAGAATGGGAGGTTGTTATCTGTCAAGTGTTGGACCACAGTTCCCATCAACCCTGAGATCCAGTGTAGTGTAGTGGTTTGAGTGTTGGACTATAACTCTGAAGACCAGGGTTTGAATCCCTGCTTGGCCATGAAACCCACTTGGTGACCTTAGGTGAGTCACACTCTCTCAGCCTCAGAGGGAGGCCATGGCAGACATTGCCTAAACAAATCTTGCCATGCGAGGATTGCCCTAAGTCAGAAACAACTTGAAAGCACACAACAACCATGACAACCTCGCCACTGTAGATTTCTCAACCCTCCTCAACGCCTCTCTTCTTCATAATCATATCCAGACCATCACTGAATTGTTATTTTGTTATTCATAATTGCTTGAAGATTTTGACAGTGTTGTTCACAGTGCCTTCAAGTGCCTACACCATTTACAGTGTTGTTGCTGATGTTGTGTGCCTTCAAATCATTTCCAACTTATGGTGACCCCTATTATGGGTTTTTCCCCGCAATATTTGTTCAGAGGGGGTTTGCCATTGCCTTCCCTTGAGGCTGAGTTGCTCAAGGACACCCAATGGGCTTCATGTCTGAGCTGGGAATCAAACCCTGGTCTCCAGAGTTATAGTCCAATACTCAAATCACAGTGTTAATAAGTTTCTAATGTTGATCTCATCTTGGGATTTGTAGTTTTGAGAGATATTTAAGCCTTCTCTTTCAGAGATCTCTGGTGCCACAACAAACAACAGATCTTAGGATTCCATAAGATGAAGCCACAGATGTTAATAATAATATAATAATAATTTTTATTTGTATACCGCCCTATGGCGAACCAATCCGGGCGGTGAACACAATAAAATACAATAAATACAGTCTAAAACAACAGAATTCCCTCTTCCCCCCCCCCTTAAAAAACTATTAAATCAAATTGATTAAAAGTAGAATAATAATGATAGTTAAAGTCGTGTCTATCTGTGTTAATTCTGCAGTGCAGCAGAAGCCTTCCTATGCTGCAAATCCCAAGATTTCACAGGATGGAGTCATAATGATACAATGTGTAGTGTGTCATGTTCTTCTACACCTCTGTTCCCTGCTTTTGCTGTGACAGGCCTCCTCTCCTCCACTGAAACCTGCACAGGGCCCTTTGCATGCCTCCTGGTGCAGTTGGTTTCACTGTGTGAGCTTTAAACCTTTACATTGTTGAACTACAACTCCCAAGAATCCTCACTCCAGACCTTCCCCACGACCACTGCCAGGTACAACGCTACCTTTTCCGAGCCTGGCTTTTAGACCAAGGGTAGGTGGGAATCATGTGGCCCTCAAATGTTGCTGAACTACAGCTCCTAGCAGTCCTAGCCAATGGAGTCAAAGGTGGGGAATGCTGGGAATTGCAATCTAGCAGTATCTTAAGCAACACAAACTTCCACCCCCATTTTAGACATACAGTGGGGCCCTTAGTATCCGCTGGGGTTTGGTTCCAGGACCCAATGTGGATATCCAAATCTGTGGTTTTCCAAGTCCCATTAAATACAATGGCATAGTAGAATGGTGTCCCTTATATAAAATGGCAAAATCAAGGTTTGCTTTTTGGAATTTGTGTATTTTGGAATATTTTCAATCTGTGAATGCTTGACTCCATGGATGAAATAATTTGTGGATAACTGGATAAC